TTCCTACAGAGGAAGGGTGACTCGGGGCTGCTGGCGGTGAACACGGCTCCCGGGGCTGGAGGGGCCCCAGGCAGGCTGTGTGCCTCCAGGTTCCCACTTCGGCTGCGGCCAGCTCTATCCGGCCCCGGCTGGAGACGGGTCGGAAAAGTGAAGGTGGGGACGTGGCAGCGGGTGCGGGCCTGCCCTGCCCTGCCCGAGCCGCTGGCTGCTGCGTCCTGTTTTCCTAGCTCGCTCCAGAAACCCCTGGCCTTGGATAATCCCCCGGGCCCGGCCTCTCTGGGGAGGGGCGATCCCGCCTGGCTGCCTGTCTGTCCAGGACCTTGCTGGCCGACCGGCCAGGGACCCACACGCCGTAGGAACAGCTCAAGCTCTGGTGGCTGGGGTGTGTTTGTTGTCGCATATGGCCCTTAGAGTGGCCTCTGAGGTAGAGGTGACCGTCCCCGGTCTGTAGGTGGGGAGCCGGGGCTCTGGGAGGTGGTCACTTGCCCAAGGTCACACAGCTGGTAAGTGGCAGGCCAGCGGGGACTGAAGCCCAGTCTGCCAGCCTCCAGGGCGGGCCCTCACCAGCCTCACCTCAGGGAGGGGTGTTCTGGGGTTTGTGGAGGGACACACTGCATCTCCTCTGTCTCGCTCCTCCCCAGGACCCCTCAGCTGGGTGGAAGGAACAGGCCAGGGATGGTCGGTACCAGCCAAGCCTATGTGGCCCATGGTGGCTGGCCCTGTGCCCCATTGGGCTGTGTGCTCAGGGCTGGTCCTGAGTCCCGAGGGACAGAGCCCTGGAGAGTCAGACTGTCCCACACACGTGCCCAGCGCTGCCTCCTGAGGACACTCTCCCTTCCCTCAAGGCCCTCAAAATGCCAGGCACAGCCTTTCTGTGCAAACCCTGAGGAGGCTGCATTAAGCTCCAGGCCTGGACATGTCCCCGATGCTAGGGTCGCTGGATGGTGACTAGGTGGTCTTTTTCACACACCAGGGAGCGGGCAGGATGTGGGGACTCTGAGGGGCGGGGTCTTGGAGCTGGCCAGGGCACAGGCCTTGCTCGGGGACACCTGGCTGCCTGGAAACACGAGCTCTTGGGAGGCCCCTTCCCTGCTCCCCAGTCCAGCCAGGCCTCCAGAGCAGCCCCAGTCCAGCGTGGGCATCCTCACATGCCCTGGTTGGAGAGCACAGCCGTGCGGTCGCTGGGGCGAGCAGGCAGCTCTCTGGGTCCCCCAGTGTCCTCTCCCCGACCTCCTCACAAGCATACAAGACGGGGGCTCCATGCAGCCTGGCTGGAGGGTGACTCACGGCCTCAGGAAGCCGGCGTCCAAGGCCACCTAGAAACCCTCTGAGGGCAATATTTTCATTATGGACAAGTTCTCCCTGTCCTGCAACTTTATCTGAGGAATGTAAAAGAAGAAAGCTGGCTCTCAAGGGCTCTAATACGACTGACTCTGTGAGTTCTCCCGACCAGTGAATAGTGACTCAAGGGTAGGCCACCTTCTTCTGGCACCTTCCACGACTACCCCTCTATGACCCCCACCCCCAGCAACTCCCTCCAGGCCCAGTGGGAGGAGGAGCTGGGGGCTCCACCCAGACCCTACCCCAGAGCAGGGCCAGGGACTGTGGCCCTCAGCGGGGAGCACAGGTGACCAGGGCAGATGTCACCACAGGGCTCTCAGGCACAAACTAGTACCGTCCCAGGCTAACCAAGGTGTGTGTACTTTTTTTTTTTTGAGACAGAGTCTCACTCTGCTGCCCAGGCTAGAATGAGTGCTGTGGCATCAGCCTAGCTCACAGCAACCTCAAACTCCTGGGCTCAAGCGATCCTCCTGCCTCAGCCTCCCGAGTAGCTGGGACTACAGGCATGTGCCACCATGCCCGGCTAATTTTTTCTATATATTTTTAGTTGGCCAATTAATTTCTTTCTATTTATAGTAGAGACGGGGTCTCGCTCTTGCTCAGGCTGGTTTCGAGCTCCTGACCTTGAGCGATCCACCCGCCTCGGCCTCCCAGAGAGCTAGGATTACAGGCGTGAGCCACTGCGCCCGGCCTACAGTCACTTTCTTATAGCTATTTTTATACTATTTGAATTTAGGGAGGAAACTACTAGAAATGGTTTTGAAATTGCGATTAAAGTTTCCTTGCCTTGTGTAAACAACTGTGAGTTGAATGAAAAGGTGTTAATGTCGGGAGCAGCTGATTCTAAGGGAAGAAGCTGGAATGAGTGTGTATGTGTGTGTGCATGTATGTATGTGTGTGCATGTACGTATGTGTGTGCGTGTGTGTGGGGGGATATGTAGTGAGGGGCGGGTGAGGGGCCCCCGGCTGGCGTGTCGCAGCCTGGCTTTGGGGTGGTTCCCTTGGCAGCTGCCCTCCCGCTCTGGGCCTCATCCTCCCAGGTGTCCTGAGTCTGCCCCGTGCACTCACGGCGCACTCACGGGGCTGTTGTGCGCTGTGCGGGGCGTGCGTGAGACGGACGAGGGCCAGGATGACCTGGGCTCTGCCCGGTCACAGCTGACGGTCTGCCGCGGGAGAGGGTGGCCTTGTTGGGAAGGCAGGACCCTTGTGCCCCTCCCGCCCTGCCTGTGGCTGAGACAAGCTACTGGAAGCTGCTCTTTCCGTCCCAGCAGGGGCTTGGCCAGCTGCCAGGAGTGTCAGGATGCTGCTGTGGGGCGTCCAGTGGGAGGGGTGGACAGTCCCCACTGCACGTGTGCGTTGAGCGTTTTTGTGCGGCAGAGCGCCTGGCATATACTCAGCCTCTGTATCTTGGTGTCCCGCGAGCCGAACTCAGGTTGGCCAAAGGCCAGGCTGGACACCTGAGGAGCACAGACGCTGGCCTCCACGTGGCACTCTGCCTGCCTCTGGCAGCCCCTGGGCCGCAGCCTTCTCAAGGCGGGCATTGGTGACACAGTGGGGTCCCAGTCCCTACCCTGTGGCTAACTCCCACACAGCCCCGGGCGAGGCCCTTCACTTACAAAAAGGGGACCAGGAGGCCCAGCTCATAGGGCTATGGTGAAGACCAGCAGAAACACCCACTGCCCAGTGGCCGACTCTCCTGTGAGCCGCAGAGCAGGCAAGAACTTCCCCTGCCCCTGTGGCCAGGACGGTGACAAACTGGCAGTTCTTCATGGCCAGGTAAAGGACCAGACCAGGTGTATTGCTCCTCCAGGAACCCGTTCTCTGGTCTCCCTCCTGCCTTGTTTGTCCTCGGGCATCTGTGCGCTAACCCGAGCCTCCTCTGGGCTGGGCAGCGGGTGGGTGTGAAGGTTGCTGCGTTAGGAGCAGCACTGGGGTGTCATAATTATTAATAGCAATACATCCCTGCACACTGTGCTTTCCCTGTCGTCTCCCTGGGCTTTGGAAATGAATGGTGGGTAGGCGGCATCTTGATAAATGGAACCAAGCGTGCAGCAGCTGTAGGCAGCCAAGGCTGTCCACATACTGGCCGGAGGGCTTCTGGCAGGCTGCGCTCTGAGCCTCAGTTTCTCCATCAGTAAAATGGGGTTCATAGTAGCCGTCCTGGGAGTTGTCATAAAGCGCAAATAGGATAATATGTTACCTCTCGGCTCGGTTTGTGGACTTTGGTGGCTGCTCAGTAACGTTGGTTTCCATTTGTTTCTGTCGGGATGCAGCTTCAGGCTGTGGCTGAGATCTGATGGGTCGGGAGCCATGTGATCAGATTAGAGACCTCAAGGTGGAGAGGGCCCTGGGAACACCAGAGGGGGATGTTCAGGGCACAGCCTCTCTGTGGCTGGGGGCCTGGCTGGCTGGTGCCAACCTTACTGGTCCGTCTGGTGTTCAGCTTGAGTCCCGGCACAGGCGGGAGCCAGGCTCCTTGGTCGCCAGCTATTCTTAGCCCAGGGATGTCCTGGGGGGACGGATCCCCAGGAGGACCACCCACACACCAACGGCTGCACGTGTCTGGACAGGCACATTCAAGCCTGTCACTGAGCAGCTTCCTCAGACGCCCCTGAGCCTGTTGCTGTCTGAGACTCCCAGAGACTTTTCGCAGCCCTTGTTCCTGTTACCGTTCTTGTAGTCCTGGGGCTGAGGACTTTAATGGGGTTGCCCGCCAGCCCTAGCAGAGGAGCGCGCCAGAGAACCTTGGGAACAGGTTGACAGCTCAGATGGGAACAGGTAGAAGCAGTGCCACCCGGGATGTACCTACCTTTCCAGAGACAAAGCGGCCCCAAGAAATGGCCTGCGAAGAGCTGCCCCTCAGTCTAGGGTACACTGTGAACGAAGCCAGAGAGAGAGCTCTTCTATCAGATGGTTTTAGCAGAAGGCGCGGGCACATCTTTGTTGCACACTGTCATGGTGCAGGCAGCGTGTTGGGCACTGGACCCAGCATGGGCAGGTCCGGCCCAAAGCACGGAAGCCAAAGGCCTGGTGTTCTTGCTCCCTGAGCTAGCGTCCCATTCTCTGGCCGGGATTTATTCATCAAGGTGCTACCGTGCCAGGTGCTAACGTGAAATAACACACTTAGTTGACACAGTGACCCAGGATTCCGTTGCCATTCCTGATTTACCCAGGGGAGAACTGAGGTTCAGAGAGGTTCCGTGTCGTGCCCAGGGTCACGGAGGGTGGGTCCCCAGCTGTGCACCTCCCTTGTACTCTGTCGCATCAAACTTACCTGGGTCAGGGAGTTTCTCGAAGGCCATTCGATGTGGATGTGCCCTTCATTCGGATCACCAAGAAGCCAGGCTTTGGCTTCCTGTGCAGACGTCGTGATGAGGGCTCTGAGGTGCTGACCAGGTGCCCCGAATGACGAGGGTGGCCTGGCTGTGGCCCTCCTTCGTGGATGGCCATTCCTGAGAGTCCTGGATCCTCACTCACTGGACTCTCAAGAGTCGGCCAGGGTGAGAGGTCCCCGAGACTCATCACCTGCCAGGCGTGGTCATACTTGGGGTCTGGGCCTCCCTGCACCCTGGCACCTGCCATCCCCGGCCCTGCTGACGGTTCTTGCCGTGGGGAGGGGAGGGGCGTCCTCACTCACTCTGCCCCTCTGTCTTTCCCAGGGCAGTGAGGTGGCGGGCCCCACGTATGCTGATGGCGAGCTCATCCCCGGGGAGCCCGGCTTCTTTCCCCAGGACGAGGAGGAGGCTATGACGCTGGCCCCGCCCGAGGGGCCCCAGGAATCAGACATGGACAGCCCCACAGAGAGCGCCCAGAGCCTGGAGGGCTCCGTCGGGAGTCCTGCCGAGGAGAAGGACGGGGGGCTCGGGGCCCTGTTTCTGCCAGAGGACAAGTGAGTTGGAACTGTCCGGGGCTTGCTATGCGCCTCTGGGCCCAGAAATGTGGTTCTTGGAGGGAAATAAACACGAGACGCGCTCAGGATTTGTGTGTCACGGGCATTAGTGTCTTGGATATTCCCAAAAGCAAAAAATTCTAAGCAGCCTAAATGCTTAAAAGTAGGGATAGCTCTGGAATTTTAGGCAGCCGGGCAAAGTCAAGTTTTAAATGGCTGTTTAATGTCATGGGGATATATGATCTCAATTAGTGTCAAAAAAGCAGGTTACCAAGATGTCAGTGGAGTATGGTCTTAGCTTTGTTATAAACACTTACCTATACATTTGGAAATGCCTAGAAAAAAATTAATCTAGAAAATACAAGCAGTTATTTCTAGATGGTGGGATGATGGATCATTTTAATTACCGCTCATGTAACCTGCTTATATGTTCTATATTTTCTATATTGATTGTGTCATAATCAATATAGACTCTCATAATCAGAAGTGTTATTTTAAAACAATATTAAGAACTAAATGACTTTCCAGTGAAGTAATGCCATCTTTTACATTGGTGGTGGCAGATGGGTGTCCCTTGCATTTTGGCCTTCACTAGTGCTCTGGAGGTACACAGTGCTCGTGGGCCAGTGGGAAGGTGCCACCATCGTGGCCGAGGAAGCCGTGGCCACTGGAGTGGCGGGTCCCCTATCGGAGGAAGGTGATGGTTACGGCTGACTTAGAGATCTAGAGAGGGAAGAGAAGGGGGTTCCAGGATTGGTTGAGCCATATGAAATTGACAACTTTTAATCATTTCCAGCCTTCAAAAGACAATTTTTTTTGTGTGGTTTTTTTTTTTTTATTTTTTTTATTTTATGTGGCTCGGAGACCTCATACATTTTCTAAATGCAGGGCTTCTCAGACGCAAGTGGTTCCGAGGGTCACGATGTTCTTGGTTCCTCAGCCGCGCCTGCGTCCAGCCAACCCAAGGACCAGGGATCTGAACGACAGACCTGTTGATGCTGTGGCTAATCATCTGCCACTTGATTGTTCCTAGTGTTTTCTGGGGCTGATTGTGCGGAGACAAGCCAGGAGAGGGTACTGAGAGAGTGTCAGCAAAATTTTAAGAGAAAGAACTGAGGAGTATGATTAATTAATTAATTAATTAACCCAAAGCGCTAAGGAACTTAGGGGCAGATAAATAACTATATAAATAACGTGTGGCCCAGGTACCGGGAGACTTGTTCTTTATTTAGTACACACCCCATCATTACCACCGTGATCCTTAGATAGAAACTGGGACTCCAGGCCAGGCGTGGTGGATCACGCCTGTAATCCAAGCACTTTGGGAGGCCAAGGCAGGAGGATCACTTTTTTAAGGACAGAAGTGTGAGACCAGCCTGAGCAACATATCGAGACACCATCTCTACAAAAAAAATTTTTTTTAAACATTAGGTGGGCGTAGTGGCACACACCTGTAGTCCCAGCTACTCGGGAGGCTGAGGCAGGAGGATCGCTAGAGCCCAGCAGTTTGAAGCTGTAGTGAGCTATGATGATGCCACTGCACTGCAGCCTGGGCAAAAGAGCAAGACCTTGTCTCAAAAACAAAAAAGAAAAGAAAACAGAAACTGGGGTTCCCTGGGGGCATGGTTTGAGAAGACTGCCTTGCCTTTACATACTTCTTTTACTGTTTCAGGTTTTCCATTGAGTGCAGAGGTTCAGTGAGGTTGAGGAAATCTTTTTTATTTTATTTTATTTTATTTTATTTATTTATTTATTTTTGGAGGCAGAGTCTCACTTTGTTGTCCAGGCTAGAGTGAGTGCCATGGCATCAGCCTAGCTCACAGCAACCTCAAACTCCTGGGCTCAAGCAATCCTTCAGCCTCAGCCTCCCGAGTAGCTGGGACTACAGGCATGCGCCACCATGCCCGGCTAATTTTTTCTATGTATATTAGTTGGCCAATTAATCTCTTTCTAGTTATAGTAGAGACGGGGTCTCACTCTTGCTCAGGCTGGTTTCTTGACCTCAAGCAATCCTCTCCCCTCGGCCTCCCAGAGTGCTAGGATTACAGGTGTGAGCCACCGCACCGGCCTTTTTTTTTTTTTTTTTAAGATAGTCTTGCTCTGTCACCTTGGCTAGAGTGCTGTGACGTCAGCCTAGCTCACAGCAACCTCAAACTCCTGGGCCAAGCAGTCCTTCTACCTCAGCCTTCCGAATAGCTGGGACTACAGACATGCGCCACCATGCCCCGCTAATTTTTTCTATCTTTAGTAGAGACGGGGTCTCGCTCTTTCTCAGGCTGGTCTCAAAGTCCTGACCTCAAGCCATCCTCCTGCCTCGGCCTCCCAGAGTGCTAGGATTACAGGTGTGAGCCACCATGCCTGGCCAGGGAAATCCTAATTTCTGAGTAATAATGTACAGAAATTACTGCACAGTGACTAAAGGGGAAGCTATGTTTTGGCAGGTCATGAGTTGTACTTCTCTTTGTCGTTGGGTTGTAGACGGGGCGCAGCCTCTGGGACGTCACAGACCATACTGCAGGTCACCCAGGAGAGGCCCTGGAGCCTCCGGTCAGTCTCCGGCCTCTGTTCTTTGGGATTAGGCACCCTTGGACTGGAAATCTCTATAAACTGGGAGGCACTTTTCACCTCATTGTTATTTACTTAAAAACCTCATTGGATTATGAAGGGTATCCAAGTGAATTAAACAAAACTTGGAAAAGGTAGGAAGAGTAAGAATGGGTGGAAATAACCTACCACCCCAATCCAAGACCTCTTACCACCTTAATATTTGTGTCTCCTACCTTTTCTTATTCCACATAGAACTTTCCTATTTCGTGAGCACACCCCCACCTTATCTGCAGGTTCTGTGTCTGCAGATCTAACCAACTGTAGATTAATATTGGAAAAAGACAATTAAAAATGATAAAAAATAATACACATTAAAAACAATCCCGGATAACAACTATTTACATAGCGTTTGCATTGTGTTCGGTATTGTAAGCAATCTAGAGGTGATCAAAAGCACGTGGAAGGCTGTGCACAGGGTCTGTGTAAATACTGTGCCATTCCACATAAGGGACTTGAGCATCCGTGGATTTTGGTATCGAGAGGGGGTCCTGGCCCCAAGTCCCTATGGATACCAAGGGATGCCTATACTCAGTCTTACTGTATCTAACATTTTATTTTTTAATTTTTACTTTTTATTTTTTTGGAGACAAGAGTCTTGCTCTGTTGCCCCAGCTAGATAGAGTGCCGTGGCGTCAGCCTAGCTCACAGCAACCTCACACTCCTGGGCTCAAGCGATCCTCCTGCCTCAGCCTCCCGAGAAGCCGGGACTACAGGCATGCGCCACCACGCCCGGCTAATTTTTTCTATATATTTTTAGTTGTCCAGATAATTTCTTTCTATTTTTAGCAGTGACGGGGTCTCGCGCTTGCTCAGGCTGGTCTCAAAGTCCTGACCTCGAGCCATCCTCCTACCTTGGCCTCCCAGAGTGCTAGGATTACAGGCGTGAGCCACCGCGCCCGGCCTGTATCTAACATTTTGAATCCAACTTTTTATTTGTATTCATCTTTCCACATTATGGCCATATTTTTCCCAAACCCTTCAGCTAATTAATATGCCATAATTTAATAATTTAATTTACTAATGTCTTAATACTTTAGAAACTATGATTCGATCTAGCCGGTAGCTAAATAAATTAGGTTACCAATAGGGCGGTACTGGTTTGAATGTCTCTGCAGAACCGGTTTGTGCGGTGAGATGTTTCCCCTTAGCTGGCGTCCCCAAAGTGTGCTTACAACAGGCCAAGAGGCGCAGATTTAATCTGTCGTGCGGAGCGGCCTTCTGGCCGGCCAGGCTGGTCTCCCCACCACGGGCCGAGGGTGGAGCCCCGTGAGTCCTCCTGACACAGGCGCTGTCCGCCCCCCCAGGTCGCTGGGCCACACGCCCTCCATGACGACGTCGGACCTCTCCACACACTCCACTGCCTCGCTCATCAGCAACGAGGAGCAGTTTGAGGACTACGGGGAGGGGGACGACGGGGACTGCGCCCCCAGCAGCCCCTGCCCTGACGATGAGACCAGGACCAACGTCTACTCGGACCTGGGGTCCTCGGTGTCCTCCAGGTGGCCCCTTGGTCTGGAATGGCGTTTAGGGTCTGGGGAAAGTGGCAGGGGCAATCCAGCCTCATGCTGCGGGGCCAGGCGAGCCGGGTCCTGCTCTGACTGTCCCTCCTCTGTCCTGAGCTGTGTGGGTTCTCCTGGGGGTTGGGGGTGCTGCCTTTGCATCCTGATTGGGGGTCAGGGGCTCCTCCTCCCCTCCTCCAGCCTGGGGAAAGAAACAGAATTATAACTGACCAGGGAGCCTGCAGACTGGGGGAGGGGGAAGGAGATCGGAGCTGTCTCTCCTCTTAGAACCTCAGCATCGAAGAGCCCTTCCAAGTGACCCCCTTGATACCGTCTCACCCACCCGAGGCATCCCTGACTCTGACATCTGCTCTCAGTTTGCCTCGCCTGTTAAATGGGTACAACTCAGGCTGCTCCTCTTTGAGAGCATTGGAGAAGGGATGATTTGGGTGGCTGTGTTTTCACTACCTGCCCCTCCCCACCCCAAGTCTGGCAGGTATTAGGGGGTCAAGTGAAGTCAGGTCAGCAGGGTGGGCTAGGGCACCAGACTGGACAGCAGTTGAGGTGGCTTCTTTCCCTGTCACGAATCAGTGCGGGCCAGACGCCCAGGAAAATGCGGCACGCCTACAACAGCGGGTTGCTGGACGTGTACTGCTCTCAGTGCCGCAAGAAAATCAACCTGCTGAGCGACCTGGAAGCCCGGCTGAAAACCCTGAAGGCCAACAGGTGAGGCCTGCGGGGTGCAGTGGGGGGCGGGGGGTGCAAGAGGCCAGGGCCGATCTGGAGAAGCAGCAGACAAGGCACCCCGCTCTGCCTTGGCAGTGAGCACTCACTCGGAGTAGGGTTGACCCTACTCTGGCTTTTTCTGCAGCAGGAAGTGAGGCTGCTCCCTTTCGGGACCAAGCTGATTAGCACATTCCCTGCAGGGCGAGGGAAAAGGGTCATCCTGTACCTTGATGTCTTGCAGCTGGGACAGAATAAGGAAGCAGACGAGAGCCCCCTCGGTTCATTGACCGTCTCCTCTCTCTCTCTCTCTCTAGCCCCAACCGAAAGATCTCCAGCACGGCCTTCGGACGGTACGCCCCCTCTGGGGAGGGCAGATTGAGTGTTTCCCCGTTAACTGTGCCCCTGCTGCCCAGGAGGCCAGGGCTCCCCGCCAGCAGCCCAGACCCAGCCGGTGCCCCGCGTGTGGCCGAGTGGGCGAAGCGTCCATTTCTGGAAGAGAGAAGCCAGGCTCCACCCCGCCCCGCCACCCCTTGCCCCTTCCTGGCAGCATCTTCAAACCGCTGGCCGCCTGGACTTCAGGAGCAGGTCGCTCTGCTCCAGTTAAGCCCTGCCGACGCCCTGGGACAGAGGGGCTCCGGCTCTGGTTCTTCTGCAGACTGGGCGCTGGCCCATGTCGGGGCTTGGGGAAGGCAGTGTCCCTGGGTTCCAGTGCCAGCTCAGGTCGCCAGGCAGCTGCCGGCGGGAAGCTGGCTTGAAGTGGGTTCTGAGGCTGCAGGAAAGAGCTATGACTGATCGGCCGTGTCTGCCAGGGGCTCAGCGGGGCTGTCGCGGCCCACCTGCTGTCCTCTGAGCTATACGGTCGGTCGTTGGGTTCGGGTCAGGCTCTCTCCTCCTCGGCTGAGTGAGGGCAGCCTCCCTAAAGGGACTCCTGGCAGGCCCCTGGGGTAGTGAGTGCCTGCCCAGCCCATGCCTGCGTGGGACCCCCGTCTCTGGAGGCCTCTGCAGCCAGGTCCCCCTCCCTGCAGGCAGCTCATGCACAACAGCAACTTCAGCAGCAGTAACGGCAGCACGGAGGACCTGTTTCGGGACAGCATCGACTCCTGTGACAATGACATCACAGAGAAGGTGGGGGCTGGGGCAGGGACATAATGGGTGCATGCCCCCAGGGTTGGTGGGAGTGCTCGGCTGCTGTCTGGGGACTTGGGCAGGCGGCCCCAGTCACGTGGGCCCACCCCCGCCACATGTGACCATTCTCTTCGTACGTGGCCATGTTTGGAGGTCCTGGTTGTGAACCTCACAGCTTCGAGGTTCTCAGTCCTGTGGCCTTAGAGGTCTTCTGTACCCACCCCTCCCTGCCCTCCTGCAGGTGAGCTTCCTGGAAAAAAAGGTGACAGAGCTGGAGAATGACAGCCTGACCAACGGGGACCTGAAGAGCAAGCTGAAGCAGGAGAACACGCAGCTGGTGCACAGGTGAGGCCGGGGCCTTGGCTTTGGGGCCTTGGCTGGGACTCTGGGGAAGAAAGGGCTGTCCCTCCTGCTAAGGGAAGCAGAGGAGGTAACCTCGTGTCTTTCCAGTTCTGAGGGTCTGTGATGCATCAGCCCCTCATCACGTCCGGCCCAAGCAAGGTGCCTGGGAGGACAGGCCTCTAGGGACAGGGAGATAGGCTGGAGCTAGACCTTGACTCTTGGCCTGTTGGATTCCAGCCTCCAGGTCTGCAGCCCCAGAGTGGGTCTAAGACAGGAGTTGGGCTCCACTGTCTGGCTGTCATGCAGTGACGAGAGCCTGACTTCCCTGGGGACAAGCTTGCAGAGGGACAGGCCAGCGTGAGCCTGTCAGTACAGCAGTGAGTGCAGAGCTTAGTTGTCCTCACCAGACAGCGTGAAACTTGGTGGACTTGTCCTGGCCTTGGATCTGGCCCTCTACCTTGTAGATCCCAAAGATGGGCCTTTTTGTGCACCCCATAAAGGTCAGCTCTTGGAAGGACTGTTGCTAGTGAGATGTACCCTAGACCGTTGTACCCACCAGGCTGCCAGTCATGGGGTTCTGACATCCACAGGGGGGCCTGGCCCCTCCCAGGTCTGGGGCAGGCTTGAGCCACAAGCCAGGATATGCCTATTTTGGAGTCAGGGTGCCCAGTAAGCTGGCTTGTCAATGGGAGGGTGCTGGCCAGGAAGGAACAGAGCGAAAAGACGTGGGACCCAAGGCTGCTCCCTCTAGCTGTGGCTGTCCCTCCCTGTGCCACCCTGAGCGTCCCACCTTCTCGGGTGCAGCCTTGCTGCCCTCTGGACCGACTGACTGCCGGGTCTGCCCCTCCATGGCATGTATGACTGACACGCTTCTCTTTAGATGTCTCGGTGTCCCTAGGCAGGGACAGGCCTGTCAAACTCACCGCCACCTCCCTTCGTGGGCATGTTAGTGACTCAGGATCTCGGGCCCCACGGCTCTCTGTGCCACAGCCTGGGTTGGGGCAAGATGACGCAGGCCACGGAGCTTGCCCCTTGCGCGGTCCCCAGGGTGCACGAGCTGGAGGAGATGGTGAAGGATCAGGAGACCACGGCCGAGCAGACGCTGGAGGAGGAGGCGCGGCGGCACCGGGAGGCCTACAGCAAGCTGGAGCGGGAGAAGACCACCGAGGTGGAGCTGCTCAACGCCAGGTCGGCCCCACTCACCCTGCCGGGACTTCCTCCTGATGCTCCTGCCCTTTGGAGACACCCTCACACTCCTGGGACAGCCCTGGGGGCGGGAGCCATTCCCATTTTATAGATTGGGAAAACTGAGGCCGAGGGAAAGCCTCATGTTCTAACGGTTCTACTTTTTAATCCCTTAAAACTCTCACGGCTGTATTATTTAGGAAGTATACGAAAGCATGTTCATAGGAGCATTGTTCATGTTAGGTAAAGGAAACCACACATAAATGTTTACCCGCGAGGGAATCAGTAACAGAAATGGTCTTGGCTGGATTCCAGGGCTGGGTCTGATGTCCAGGCTTGGAGCTCCCCCTGCTGTCGGTTCTCCCTGAGCCTGGCGACTGAGCCTGGGCCCCAGGGCCTGTGTTTGCCATGGGCCCCTGTGCCCGGGGTACCTGTGGCTTCACCATCAAACCTCTGGCAGGAGGGTGGGGGACAGCCTTAGTACAGGAACCTGGATGGGTCACCCATTAGCTCCGTGACCGTGGACATACTGTGTCAGCGTCTGTCTGTTGTCCTGTCCCCGTCTGTCACACAGCGAATGTGAGGGTGGGTGGGCTGACACACATCAGGACGCTGCACACGGGCGAGGCTGTGGCAGTGCCCAGTGCTGCCTCCACTGCTGCCCGAGGCTGCCGGGCCCTTGGCGGGAAGGACAGCTGCCCCGCGCTCCTCAGGCCCCGGGCCCCCCGTCTCTGCCCTGGGGGTGGGGTGGGCTGCTGCGCAGATGGCAGTGTGATGGGCTCCCACCTTGCACCTCGAGGCTCTGCAGCAGGTGCCTCCTTGCCAGGTGGCCGCACCCCCTGTGCAGCTGGGAGGGGACTTCCCAGGTCCCCTGAGCCCGAGCCCTGCTTTGTTAACTTTCTCACCAGGGAAAGTTGGTTTTACAGTTTGACATGTGTGTTCTTGAAGCTGCGGTTTGGCATCTGTCTCTGGAACCTGATACCTCACTAGGGGTGGCCACTCTTAACCTGCTTCTGACGGCTGGCCCATGAGAAATGGCTGGGACATGGGAGATGGAAAAAGACAGCATGAGTGTGAGCCAGAGGACAAAGCCCAGAAAAAGCCAACCCTCGGGGACTGTCTCCTAGCCCATGTCCCTTGCACACCTCCAGGGGGCGCCATTCATGTAGAATATGCAGATGGCATTCTCAGAGTCACATGGTATGCTTTAGTGTCCACCATATCCACCTGCTCGAGGCCACCTTCCTCTCTGTCCCTGGCCTGAGGGCCTCTCCTGGGGAGTCGGGAGCATGGGAGGCCCAGGAGCCATCCCTGCAAGAAGGAGGAGGTGACAGGGTTAGGAGATTAGGAGGATGCTCTGCAGGGGTCGGTGCCAGAAATGACCCTGCACAGCTCTGGTGCCACGGACAGCCCAGTTCACCTGCACCTCTTCTCGGCTCATTTGAAACCAACTTGAGTGCCTGGGCTCTGTCTTCTCATGGAATCTCTTTAGGACGGCCCTTTGTGGGTGCCAGCGTCAGAGGATCATTATGTTGGAAGCAATGCCTGTGGACGTCAGGCAGCTGCAATGAGCTCCCAGAGAGAAGAGCTCTGGATGAGGTGCCGGGGGCGGGAGAATGAATGTGGATTCTCACAGGAGGGCCCCAGTCACAGACAGCCACAGGAAGACCATTTCTCCCTCTAGCAGGAAAACATCCCCCCATAGGGTTGTTTCAGGATTCCAAGAATGTATGCAAGAAGCATCTTACATTCTTATTTACAAATGAATGTATTTTTTTTTATCAAAAAAATAAGAATGCGAATTCAGTGTCTTTACTATTTTGCCATGGCTGACAGGAAGCTCAAGGCTATTTTATCATTTGGGAAAACTATTCATATTGTCTGTCTTTCTCTCAGTTGGTTTCTGGTACCTTCTCTCTTCCAGGAAGCAGAGAATCTCTGTAGGTTGTCAACCCCTTGTGAGATCATCTCCATTCCAGATTTATGAGATTTCTGAGATTTCTGTTCTCCCTTCCCCAGGGTGCAGCAGTTGGAGGAAGAAAATACAGAACTTAGGACGACAGTGACTCGGCTAAAGTCTCAAACAGAGAAACTAGACGAGGTGAGCAGCAGGTGCAGCCTTGGAGCCACATGCACAGAGAGGCAATGTTGGCCATTGGGGGTTGGTGGGGTGGGTTTAGTTTATATTAAATAGTTTCTGAGATTCTAAAAAATTGTCCTGCAAAAAAAAAAAAAAAGAAAAAGTGAATAACAGTTTGTGTTTATGTATTTCTGATTTTCTAAGTTTTCTATGGTGAATGTATTTCCTTATACAATGGAGGAAAATTATACTCTTAAAAGAGAAAGAAAGAGGGTTAGCTTCTATTCAAGCTAACACCTGTTCAGACTCTATCTTGCATTGTTGAAGGACTTCAGAGGCCTGAGTTTTTTCTAGCTGTATTTCTAGACTCATAGGAGTCCTAGCCATTTCTTTTTTCTTTTTTTTTTTAACATAAAAAATTTTTGTTTTAGAGACAAGGTCTTGCTCTGTCACCCAGGCTGGAGTGCAGTGGTACAATGATAGCTCACTGCAGGCTCGAACTCCTGGGCCCAAGGGATCCTCCTGCCTCAGCCTCCTGAGTAGCTGGTACTACAGGCATGTGCCAACACAGTTGGCTAATTTTTTTTTTTTTAATCTTAGAGATGGGGTCTCACTAGGTTGCCCAGGCTGGTCTCGAATTCCTGGCCTCAAGCAGTCCTCCCACCTCGGCCTCCCAAAGTGCTGAGATTGCAGGCATGAGTCACTGCGGTGCCCAGCCTGGCCATTTCTTTAAGCCACGACTTGGAGGGTTCTGTCCAAGGGAGCTGGTCTGACTGTCCATTTGCCATGTGGAGGTGGCCAGTCAAATCCCCAGGGAAGTCCCTGGGGCATAGCGAGCCTTCTCTGGGAACTCCCCTCCCCTGACCGCATCTCCCCGGCTCCAGGAGCGGCAGCGCATGTCCGACCGGCTGGAGGACACCAGCCTGCGGCTCAAGGACGAGATGGACCTGTACAAGCGCATGATGGACAAGCTCCGTCAGAACCGCCTCGAGTTCCAGAAGGAGCGGGAGGCGACGCAGGAGGTGGGTCCCGGGCCGGAGGGCACCGGGGATCCCTCCGGCGTCCCTGCCCCCGCCAACCAGCCCCTCTCGCTCGCAGCTCATCGAGGACCTGCGGAAGGAGCTGGAGCACCTGCAGATGTACAAGCTGGACTGCGAGCGGCCGGGCCGGGGCCGCAGCGCGTCTGGCCTGGGCGAGTTCAACGCCAGGGCCCGCGAGGTGGAGCTGGAGCACGAGGTCAAGCGGCTCAAGCAGGTGGGAGCCTGTGGCCAGCGGGGCGAGGTGGCCAGGCCGGCCGTGTGGGTTTCCTGGGCAGGGACCACGGTTTCCGGGAAGCCCAGAGCTGTAGCACCCCTCCCACCCACATCCCTGTCTGCTCCTTGACAGCATGATTGTCAGGGCTGTCCCATTTCACAGCTCAGGTGAAGCCACTTGCCTGTAGGCTCTGTCTGGTGGAAATCCCGGGATCTGTCCCTGGTGTCCTTAGAAAGAAAGAGACACTGTGGACTCCTGTCTTTGGTGCTCGGGGAGGAGAGTGAGACGACCCAGCTGCACGTGAGTGCCTGGCTGTGTTGGGCTCTCCCAGGAGGAAGATTTCATTTCAAGCAGTTCCCAGGCGCACTCCCTTAGTTGGAGACCAGTCCGGGGTCCGGGGGTGGGGAGCGGGGTCAGAAAGGGGCAGCGGCCAGGCGGGGAGGGAGTGGTGTTGCTCAGCCGACCCTGCAGGCCCAAGACTCTGCAGTGTAAGTTGCATCTCTGAGTTTGCTCCACCCAGGCGGAGGTGCTGGTGGCTGTGTTTCCATGGCAATCCTGAAACCCCAGCCGCCTCTGGGTTTGAAGGGGGTTCCCAAGGTCCCAGGCGTGAGCATTAGGGGCCTTCGGGCAAAAGCTGGAGCTTGGGGCTGGGCACAGGATCTGGGCAGAGCTCCTCGGGGTCAGCTGAGCTCCAGAGTGACAGCTCCCGCCGGGCAGAGTTGCAGAGCCCGGCTGCAGGAGGAGCCGGGGAGCTGAGCTGACCTGCTGCTCAGAGACCCCAGAGCGTCACTTTCCTTCAGGGAGGGCCAGTGTCGGAGACTGAGCTGCCAGGTGGGCCGTGTCCCCACACAGGGCCCCAGGAAGGAGGACACGGCCAGGAGCCATGGTCCTGTCTGGAGACGTGGCCGCCCTGAGCGGGGCTGTAACTCCTCCTCCTCGGAATCCCGGGAACTCCTGGGACGCCAGGCCCCTAGAGCAGGACCCGGCCCTCCTTCCCTCCAACGGCCAGGGAAGGCCGCGGCGTCTGCGGCTTCCTGCACTGGCCGTGCGTGGCGCACACCTGAGCACTTGGTGCTGGTGGCAGTCAGGGGACAGTGCGTGCAGAGAAGTGGGTTCCAGTGGGTTCCAGATGCTTCTGGGGGTTGATGTCTCGCTACCCCACTCTCTGTAGGAGAATCATAAGCTGCGGGATCAGAACGACGACTTGAACGGGCAGATCCTGAGCCTCAGCCTCTATGAAGCAAAGAACCTCTTTGCCACCCAGACCAAAGCCCAGTCCCTGGCTGCGGAAATAGACACGGCCTCACGCGACGAGGTAATCACGTCCACTCGTGCTTGCTCTGGGGCCTGGGCCCCCGGCCCCCCACTTGCCGTGGTGACCAGGGACTGGCCTGAGGGTCCCGCCTGCAGCTACTCCAAGTGACAGAGGCCGTGGCTGCCGGGGGGGCGGTGGCTGCAGGAGAAGTTAAGTCAGATCTGAGTTCCGCACGTGCTGGAAGGAGCCCTGGTTCAGCAGCAGGGTGGAGTGTAGGTCTGCCAGAAAAGTGCCGATTGGCTGGTTGATTCCGTCCACATGTGAGCCCAGATAGGCTATGCCTCCCCTCCCCCAAACCAAGAGGGAAGGAAACTGGCACATCACGAGCACCGACTTCTGCAGGGTGTTTTCACGTAATCCGATAGCTCTGAGGCTTCGTGAAAACACGTCCATGTCACAGATTGGGAAGCTGGAGCACAGGCTCACCCACCTGGGGAGGGACAGGGACCCGCTCTCTCCAGGGCCAGAGGCTGCTCTTTCTGCCATGCTCGGGTGTGATTATGAAGATCAGGCCTCCAAACACCCTGGTGCCCTCCACAAACCAGTTCCATCGGAATCTCGGGGCTAGGGCCCGGGCATCTGCATGTCCAACACTCCCTGTGTGGAGCTGGGCCACTGCCCTGGACTCCCGTCCTGGCACCCAATTGCTGAGGTCGGTCTGGGGCCTGCTTTGCCCAGCGTCTCCTGAGGCCCTGTGTCATCGGGCCCTGGCCAGCTGCAAGCCCGGGAATCTGGGCTGAGCCTGCACCCCAGCCTTGATTTCTCTTTTTTTTTTTTTTGAGACAGAGTCTCACTCTGTTGCCCAGGCTAGAGTGAGTGCCATGGCGTCAGCCTAGCTCACAGCAACCTCAATCTCCTGGGCTCAAGCAATCCTCTTGCCTCAGCCTCCCTAGTAGCTGGGACTACAGGCACGTGCCACCATGCCCAGCTAATTTTTTTCTATTTTTAGTTGTTTGGCTAATTTCTTTCTATTTGTAGTAGAGACGGCGTCTCCATCTTGCTCGGGCTGGTCTTGAACTCCTCAGCTCAAGCAGTCCTCCCGCCTCAGCCTCCCGGAGTGCTAGGATTACAGGCGTGAGCCACCGCGCCTGGCCCCCAGCCCTGATTTCTGACTGGTCCTTCTCATTCCCTTCAGCTAATGGAAGCCCTGAAGGAGCAGGAGGAGATCAACTTCCGGCTGAGGCAGTACATGGACAAGATTATCCTCGCCATCCTGGACCACAACCCCTCCATCCTGGAGATCAAGCACTGAGACATGGGCGCTGGCTGCAGAGCAGCCTCAGGACCCTGGGACCGAGGGGCAGACCCTGCCCGAGGATGCAGGCCCAGGCCGGGCCTCACACTCACACTGTAAATGTATCTCTGGCCACCGTGCGTTGCGTGTCCTGGTGTATTTGTGGGGAGGCCGTGTGCACGAGCCAGGGGTGAGTGTGGGGCTGTGGCTGTGGGTGATGTCTGCACCAGTAGCTGTCCATGCACTTTGTGGCCCCTTTGCAAGGGTCAGAGGGTTCTGGAAGGTGGGAGGGGGCAAGGTCTGCTATCAGGAGTTACTGTAATATCAAGAACTGGAAGCTTGTGTTTCAGGTACTGGATAAAATGATTCTACCTCTGGGGATAAGGATTAAAATACACTCTAGTGAGCCGGGCTCTTTCTCCCCACCCCTAATCCCCCTGGGAGTGGGAGCAACATTGTGATCTTCTCCAGGAGCTGGAATGGCCCACAGTTGTGTCCTTGCCAACTCTCCAGCCACCTTTTTAGCCCAGGTGTTCAAGCTCAGAGAGAAGGAAGGGGGGCATGTGGGGGCGCCGTGAGGAGCGGCCCTCCCTGAGCTGCCCCGGCCCCGGCCGGCAGCCCCCTGCGACTGGTGTGCACAGTGTCCAAGGGACTCAGGTCTGCAGAGGAGCTAGCACGGGGCATCCTCATTCTGGAGAGTTCTCCATGCACTCCCCCCATGCCCACTTACCCACCCCGCTTTCTGTTTTTGTTTTATTTTGAAGACAGTGAAAAATAAGCAGCCTTCACTTGGGTGTGACATGAAGTGATACAAAGGAGGGAGAAAAAGAAGATTGTGGGACAAGGGAGTCTAAGGCAGGTGCTGACATTGGGCAACCAAAGAGATTTTGCGGGGAGGAGCCCAGCTCCCATTCCGGTCAGTTTCCTTCCCCACGGCTGCATCTCGCCTGGCTGGCCCTCTCGGTTCTCCACGCACCCTGGTGGCACCAGGCCTTGGGTTTGGGCTTCAGATCCGTGCCCGGGGCTCCTCTCAGGCAGCAGCAAGGCCCGATCGGTCCAGCCCCTGGAAACACACCTGCATTTGGTTCTCAGCCAGGGGAGCCCATGCCGTGCAGGTTGGGGGCCGGCTGGGAAAGTTGCAGGGAAACCTTAGTCTTCCATCCGTGTGACGCACGGTGAAGTCACACTATGGTTTTTAATGGGATCTTTTGTTCTAGACGGCTGGGAGTAGATACGGTACTTTCCTTAAGAGTTTTCCAGTGTATCTCAATTTTATATGGCTTGTGATTCATTTCTTTAACCCAAGTGTATATAAACATTTGTGGTCTTATTTTCTCCCCCCTGAAATTCTTGTTTTCTTGAGCACATCTAGTGTCAGGAGGAAGGCTGGGCATGTCGGGCAGGGGCATGGAGGGGAGTAGGCAGAGGACAGAGGGCGGTGGGGTGAGGAGGGGACTTGGGTGTGTTCCCTGCTTGGCCAAGGCAGGACTGCGGCCAGAACCAGTCTTCATCCCATTCCAGGAAACTTGTGCTTTTGTTGGATTTCGTGACTTCTTTTCAATCATATAGTATGGGATTTGTTTCGTGCTGCAAGTGTTGGAATTGTACTGGTCTGACCCAGGACTCTGGAGCCACCCACCCCAGGAAGGTGCTCAAGGGGGTGGGTCTTTGGGGAGTCCCCCAACCCCTTAGGACGCTGGTCTCCTTGACCCCCACCCCCCCGAGGGTCTGAGAAGCGGGCAGCGAAAGAAGGCATGAGGAGTGGGTCTCTTGAGAATTTGCTCATAGGAAGGAATGGCCACAACTATAAGGAAGAAGACAAATTGTGATGCAGGTTTGGTCTGGGTTTTATGCTGGGGGGTCCTAGGGAGAGGCCAGTCAAGTCAGGGTCCTGGTCTGTGGGGGCTTAGCCCAGGGGGGAGTATTGTATATGTAAAATGGACTGTGCTCTCAGGCTGGGTTGGCGTGGAATTCTAGCGAGGGCTGCAGAGGCCCGAGTCACAGAGTCACAACGTGGGGACGAATCCCTGCGGCTGGAAAGGGGGCGGGGAAAGGCTGTCAGCCTGTGGCGTCCGTCCTGCTGGCTCCTCCCTCTAGGGGGCGCCACGGGAACGGACTCTGGAGGAAGCACCGGGTCGGCAGACCTGGCGCGGTGCCAAAGAGGCTTCTTGGAGGAGGAAGGCTGGCTTTTAAATAAGGGACTGAATTCCAGGTGTAGCACACCCTCAAGTCAACTCCAGCCTTCTTTCTTCAGCCTGAACACATTTCTTACAAAAGCATGCTCTTCCGTGAGCCTGAAAGCTTGCCTGGGGCGGGCGGGCGCAGATGGCGAGGGGTCGCAGCCACAGAGCCCCTGAGCCTTGGGTGGTGGAAGGGAGCCTGCCCTATTCCCGTGTTTCCACTCTTATCTCAGTCGTGGGGCTGCAAGAGATGGGACATAGGGTGCCCAGTTAAATGTGAGTTTCAGATAAACAGCAAATCATTCTGTTCCACCCAATCCTTGGGACATATTTCAAATGGGGAGATTTTTAAAAATTCTGATGGCTGGGCCTGAATCCTCAGACATTCTGGTTTAATCAGTGTGGGTGTGGCCCAGGCATGGAATTGAGGTGCTCCCAGGTGATACTAATTTAACTGGGTAGCTGGGGGGGGGGTGTTTCATTGTTTTTGTTGTTTGTATTTGCTAAACCCAGCAACCCTACCAAGTAGGGATTAGCAGTAACTAGTCTGAGGTCTAGAGGTGTTTTTTTTTTTAGGTGAGGCAAGGGTTTCTGTAGGAGACTCGAATTTTACGTGACACCAAGCTGTCCTTGCATTCAGCTGGAAGCCAAACAAAATTAGCTGAACGATCAAGTGAGCTTTATACACAGTGTCTAATAGAAAATGAAGCGCCTTCTGGCCCAGCTAGTCCCTATTCCGTGGGAAGGTATAAGAAAGTTCTAGTAAAAACGTTTTCTTTTTCTTTTTAACTTTGAATTGGCCAGAGCTAGACCTAGGTTGTTTTATTTTTAACTGGAGCATTTATTTGAGAATTGTCACAGGGCAATTCCTTTTTTGTGACTTTATTTCTGACCTAGTAAAAACACAAGGCTCAAGAACTTCCCAAGGCACCAGGTCCTCAAAGAGAGGTTTTCAGCTCTGGTCGTGCATTGGAAGGGTGTGGCCCAGGCACTTGGATGTTGAAAGTCCTCTCCAGGTGATGCTGTGTGCGGCCCAAGGTTGAGACCCCCTGTCCTAGGCTGTTGGCCAGAGGTAGAAATGGCTGCTGGGCTTGTCAAGTCAGGTGCTGCATGACAGCAAGTTCTGCTGGAAGGTGACTTCTGTTACAATGTTACCAAGTGGTCTTCACCCCCAGGATGGGAGGCCAGATGCCTTCAGGAGCTGGCGGATCCAGCTGCTGCGGACCTCTGCCTGGTGCCCCTGGAGGTAGTGGGTGGCGCTTGTTGGGTTATAGTGTCCACAGGCCCGTTCCAAGGTGGGGGGAGAACAGAGCCAGCTGGGAGCTGACAAGTGGGGCAGTCCCACCGACAGCAGCCCCAGAAAGAGCAGCCACCTACTTGCACAGCTGAGCAGGAGGGGACACCGGCTCTGTGGGTTTTGCCTCTGATCTGTTTTCTGACTGAGTAGATGAGGAAGCCCCAGTAGCCAAACCAGCATCCCGGCTCACACCCGGGAGGCTCCAGGTGCTAGTTTGCCGGTGAGTCTCTCATTCCTCAAGCCCAGCCAGGTCTTGGGGTCCAGGAGGGCACAACTGTGGGCTATTTGTCCCAGGGAGGGACTTCATAGCCTACAGGGCCATGGGCCTGGTGAAGCAGGGAGAAATTCAGGTCTCTTTTTGTGCTTCGTGTATGTTTAATGCATTTTAGCACATTCAAACCTAAAAATTAACCCTAGATGTGATTGTAACAGGAAAGTTTTGCATAGTCACCATGCCAAATGACTTTGGTCACCTGGCAGATCCACGGTGACTCTTCTGGAGGGCTAAGGTGGATTCTGAATTGAGGAGAGGGGCCATTCAGGACTTCAGTGTTTGTCTCTTCCGTGGACTTTCTTCCCAGACCCTGATCCTTCCTTTGGGACCCAGGGCATCCCCTCTGGGGTGACGCTTCAGGCTGGCAAGACTGAGGCCTGCCCCCCCTAAGGGGCCTCAAGTTGGAGGGGCCACGCCCTCCGTGCATGACTTTGAGCACTGGTCTTAGGACAGACATCCTGCTCTGAGCGCACACGTGAACGGGGCAGCAGCAGGAAGCAGGAGGCCAGAACCACAGGTCTGTCCTCCCTGCGTGGCAGGACAACTCTCGGGCCCTTCTGCCATGCTGTCTGCTGCCCACTGGAGAAAACAGGCCACTTTCTAGAAAGGTGTGTCCCCAAAAGCATAGACCCTGGTGAAGCTTAACGCCACTATCTCGCCAGGCACATGACCTTGATGCTCTGACCTTATAGGCTCCTCCTCTCTCCATTGTGACTGTAACATAGAGGTGTCTGCCCCAGAGCCACCAGCCCAGGAGGGCGTCTAGGCCACCTCTCCTGCAGGATCTAAGTGCTGTTGTCCCCCCAGGGTGACCTGCCTTCTGCTGGGACCCGTCTGCTTTGCTATGCTGCACAGGCTGTGTTTGTCTGCATGGTTTGGGGTCTTTGTCCGTGTGCCTTTTCTTCCCTGTCACCACTGTATAGGATTTTCCATGCTCCCCACTGCCCCCTTTTCTACATCTCCTCGCCTGCCCAGACCTTTCCCGAGCCCTGTAATTGTGTGCTTAGTATCCACGGGCCTCCACCACGTGAGGCCACGCCGGCAAACCAGTTCTCCGGGCGGGTTTGTCCACGAGGATCGGGCCCCCATTCCCCTCGGCTCACTCAGCCTTGTTTGTAGACTTGGTAACTTTGTACAGAACTTTTTCGTTATTGTCTTAAGCGTGGGGGGCTAAGACCCACTGGGTCCCTCATCCCGCCTGCAGCTAGTTTAGAAGCCTTGCGTCCCAGAAAAGGGTGACCTTGTGTAAAGCTGCTTCTCCCGCAAAGCTCTTCCTGAATTGGTGTTGATGCTGGCAGAGCGCTGCTCTTTGACCCGGGCAGGGATGTCAGGGACTGCAGTGGCTACGTGTACCCACCCCTGCCCCCAGAGGGAGCCCTGGCTGTGTGG